CACTGCGGTTATCCTTTACTGGCTCTTGTCTTTTCTTTATTCACTGCAATTTAACAGACAGGCATCAGCGTGCCTTGATGCAACTTGCCTTATTCACCGCAAGCATTAAGCATCTCAGCACAAATATAACCGATTTCGGGAGATTTTCTTCTTTTTAAGCTTTTCACCTCTTTTGTGATTTCACTGACAGAGATACTAATAAGCATTCCCTGCTGTTTTTCAGATGGATCTTCGTGTAGTCACTCGGGGTTAATAAGTTCTTCAGGGTATTTTTTCCACCCACGAACAATGCTTTCATTCTCGGTAAGAAAGTGTTCAGACTCGTTCTTCCAAATTCTTAGACTGCCCTTGTTTCCACCTCGAAGCCGGCAGATGATCTGCCAGAATATCTTGCTTGTAGTTTGAAAATTCGACTTCAACACCTCACCGAACTTCTTCCAGGAATCAGCTTTGGCTTTTGCCACTGCTTTCGCCCATGGTCTTGCGTGCTTCGACATATCAGCAAGTTGAAGGCTCTTTGCATCCATGCCATCTATTGAATGCAGTTCTCTTTTTGGTGCGAGCCAGTTGTACCTCTCGTGTTCACCAGGAAGTTCGTTTCTGATCGCCATGCCCCAGGCCAATCCGTTTTAAACTGCAGCATTCGGCGGCAGCTCTGAGTAAGCCACTCTTAAAGAGCCTCCACTCTGCTTCTACCTCACCGATCGTCTCCGTGATGTGTTCAAATCGTCGCACAATGTTGTCATTTCGCCCTTCTACCAGCGAAGATAATGTTTCCCACTTGATTCTCTGGCTGCTTCCGCCACCAGGTCGTCTCCATCAATCACAGCATAGTGTGCCAGCAACAAGGTGAGGATCGATTGAAAGATCTGCTGCGTCTCTCTTAACGAGGGCATCCACTACAGAGCGTCGTCATTTACGCCGAACGATTATTGAATCGATCACTGACTTCTGTGCACAACGTTTTCTATACAAGGTATGCTGATGCACTCTTCGATACTCGAAGAACGTGTTAATAACAGAGAGACTGTTGTCTGCACAAAGCCGCAGCAACATCATGCCGCTGTTGTTGAGGTCGCTAGAACCGTTACTTCCAATCACGCCTTTCCACTTTTCAGCGTCTACTCCAAAATTCACATTAAAATCGCCCATGAGAATGAAGGACGCTGTATTCAGCACTTCGCACAGAACACAGTCCACTTCCTCAAGGAAGAAGTCATGTTCTCCATCGAAATTGGGCGTATAAACCTGCAGTAAGGTCAACGCTTAAGTTTGTCGCAGCTTCAGTCGGAGGATTGTCACTCTTCCACTGATAGGCTTCCATTCAGAGATTCTATCAGCCAAATTGGATTCTACTGGAACACCAACATTTGCCTGAGCGCCCGTCGTGATGTCGGCAGCTGCGTAAAATAGCTTCCACCCGTTCAGAATTCTAGAGCTTTGGCACTTCGTTGACGGGATTCCAATTATGTTGAGTTGGTACCTTGCGTCCTCATCAGCTAGCTCCTGCTTTTTCTCTCTGAGTAAACGTATATGAAGAAGTAGAAGAAATTAGCATATATGTTCCAATCTCCTATTATAAGCTCCCACTCCCGGTTTCGTTCCCTACAGTCTTTTCTGACATACTAAAATGGCATTGCGATGTTTACATTCTCCGTTCTGAATGGGTAACGTCTTTGTTGCGATTGGCATCTTTGGCATTATTTTGTCAACCTTCGACAGCTGCTGTTGTACTGCCGAGCCTCCTTCCGTCAGAAAACTATGAGTTGGTTCTGATCGGTGATTTTTCGCAGTCTGCCGCAGTCCCCAACAGTTTGCGCGGCCATTTGTATCGTGAGCGACGACCGAAGCGGTATAATGCTCGACGACGTCAAGATCATTGGGAGCAGGTGGCTACGCTTTTTAGTGACGTCGACACAGCCTCAAACCAAAAGCTTTCCGCATCCGGACTTGGTATCAGATCAACAAGAAGACGACAAAGATATCCATTAGCAGCGGAGCCGCTAACTGTTCTGAACGAAGGAGGCAGTCAGCACCACGCTATTTTAGC